GGAAGGAGGGAGGGTGGAATGGAAGAAGGGAAGGAGGGAGGGTGAAAAGGAAGAAGGGAAGGAGGGAACGAGAAAGGGATGGAGGGGACGAGGGAAGGAGATAGGACCGAAAAAAGAATGAGGAAAAGAAAATGATGAAGGCGGGTGGGAGGGAGGAAGGGAAGGAGGGAGGGGGGGAGGAAGGGATACCTCTTGGGCTGCCTTAAGCCCATCCAAGAGAGCCTTGTCGTCGGGAAATAACCTGAGGCCTTCCGTGTAGGTATCGATAGCAAGCTAGAGGGAGTGAAAAGGAGAAGGAATGAAATGGAGTGGGGCTACGTTATCTAGAGGCGTCATGATGAGTGTTGGGAGCCGCTGCACATGGAAGCAGAGGAAAGGACAGGTGGAGAGGAGGGCTTTCACCACCAGAACTTGGAAGGAGAGGAGAGGAATGTTGGTGTACGTGCTTCAGCAGATCGAAAAACTTGGATCTGCATTGGCCTTGCATTGATCAGAATAGATAGCATTTTAGAAAAAGCATGAGCTCAAACAGACAATCAAAATGATGCATCACTGTTTTTCAAGTAATTGAACCATACGACCGCGTCCTTGATTACGTTTTCAAAAAATCATGAACTCAAAAGCGTCCAAAACGCTCATGCAGACGCGACGATGCTGCCATTAGTAAGAGACCCTTTTACAAAGCCGAGGCTTCCTTTTTCCAATGTGAAAAAATATCTATGAAATTAAAACCCTACCATATCGACAGCTTGGGCAATTGTCCGATGGTGCCTTTGAATAGAGCATGGATTATCAGTACTGTGCACGTGATTCAGTAGGGCCGAGGCGCAGTGAACCTCTTGAGTATATTATACACCATATTGATATCTGCAACTCCTTTTCCCCTTCTTCTCTGAGCAGAGGGTTCCGAAAGCAGAAAGAAACAGAAGGAAGAAACATGTGGGGACGCAAAGCCAAAGATTGGTTGCAAGAAAAGACACAAGAGGTGAGCAGAGACGGGGGAAAGGGAAGGACGGAGGGAGGGAGGGAAGGAGGGAAGAGAGATGAAGACGTCAGTAAGGGAGGGGTGTTCATTAGGAACAGCATTTCGCACGTAGAGCAAGGTACAATCCAGGGGAAAAGCATTCCTGGAACTGACGAGGC